ACCCTTTCAGACTTAGCTCACCTGCGCCCTCCTCCAGGCCAACTCAGCCTGTCCAGGCCCTCTGTAACCCTCTATCACACGACCCATCCCACTGAATAGATGCCCCTCCCCCAAGTCTTCAAATCTCCTGGAGGCAGAGACAAGGTCTCATTTGTCCCTGTAGTCCCCAGCTCCCAATGTGGGCTCAGCATTGGTTCCGCAAGTAGTTACCGAGTGCCTGCTGCAGAATGAATGGCTGCATCTCAGGGCCATCTTGGGGATTTGGGGGTGAGGAGTTGAGATGCCCTGCTCTGGCCGCTCACTGCAGCATCTTTTGCCTTACATTTGTGCCCTGTCTGCTGGGGTCCCACACAGGGGCAGACGAACAGGGAGTGAGCCTTCACTGAAACTATGCTGTGTGCTGAGCACTGCACCCCTCCCCTCATTTAATCCTCACAACAATCCAGGGAAGAGGTGCGTTATCATCCCTATTTCACGAAGGAAAGCGAGGCAAAGAGAAGGATAGCGATTTGCCCAATGTCACACAGCTTCTAAGGGTGTGCAAAGGGCCACATCCGTGGGCACCAGTTACAGAGTTTTTAATATCCATTTTCCCCTGAGTTCCTATCTTCAGATTTTTTTTTAACCGTATGAAAGCTCCCTAGTTTCTGAGCAGATTCTAGCATAGTATAGGGAGAACAGTCTAAAGATCTTTGCCTCTGGAAACCACTTCCCACTCTACTGACCATAGTACACAGAGCCTCCTGAGAAAATGCTAAAGTAGGCATCATGGTGACGGGTGTGGGAAGGGCCCTCCGGGCCTCTGAGCCAGAAGGCGGTCAGCATTTCCCGTTGCCTGAGCTCCCATCGTGGCCTGGGGTTCACCTAAGCCCCACTGTGTGAGCCAGGATTGACGGAACGCTTGTTCTTGTGGCTTGTGCAGAGCAAGGACGTCTGTGTCCTTGTGTCTTCTAAGGCTGCACAAATAGGTTTGGTTCCTCAAACCTTACTGGAGAGAAGCTCTCCCACCGTGATGCCCCCAGTTTTTCCGGAGAGTCGGGTGGGGGTGCTCTGCACCCTCCTGGAGACAAAACACACCCCTCTGGGCCCAGCGCAGGGGATGAGACCCTCTCCCTACAGCTCTGGGGATCCTCACAGCTCCTTCCCCTCCTGGGTGCTGTGGTCTTGGTGGACCTGGGCCTACGTTCCTCTTACTGGGGAGCTGTTCAGAGACCCTAGATGGGTCACAGCCTCCTCTCATTGGCCACACCCCAGGGGCTCCACCCCCAGCTAAGCCCCCCACCCCTTGCCTCCTCTTGGCTGTGTGTTCTTGGGCACATCGCATCTCTTCTCTGAGCCTCCCTTGGCCCCTGTAACATTGGTTCAGGGGTGTGCTGAGGATACAGGAAGCTCTTGTATGAAATGCTTCTTCTTTTTTTTATTTTTTTTTAATGTTTATTCATTTTTGAGAGACAGAGACAGAGTATGAGTGGGGAGGGGCACAGAGAGAGGGAGACACAGAATCCGAAGCAGGCTCCAGGCTCTGAGCTGTCAGCAGAGAGTCCGACGCGGGGCTTGAACCCAAGAACTGTGAGATCATGACCTAAGCCAA